TATTCGTAGAAACTGAAAGTGTAACCATATATATACCTCGTTTCTGAACTACCCTTTTCCACGAAAAATACATGCATATAGACAAAAGAGTTACGCCGATTACAACCAAAGCTATTACGATTTTCTTCAAGTCTTTCTTATGATCGGCATCAACAAATAAAAATACAACCAAAGGAAGCTTAATAAAACCAGCACAATCTCTCAAAACCAAGGGGGGGAAAAAACACTAAGCATCTCTATCTAAATTACCAAGTTCAGAATTCGCGACACGAAAAAAAAGATCGGAACCCGATCCACTAGGGAATTTCTGAATGTCGAACAAGGTACTATTCCAAAACATACACCCGAGATCGGAATTATGAGCGTAAGCTATGCAAGAGCAGTTCATCAAGCACTGCTTCGGGCACTCGGTTTCGGGCACGAGCAATGGCTGCGCGTAACCGGAAATTTTAATCATCTCTATCTTCAAGAATCCATCTTCTTTCGTCCCGTTACGGCTACTAGTATTGTTATTATTATTGTTTTCGAAACGGCACTCTAAGGGGACTTTTCTCGAACACCCTGCGGTCCAGTTCCCGGAATCCCATTCTTGCTTTTTCAGAGGTTGGAATCCACGTAAGCAAGTGCAAATTGGGGAGTCTTGTGAGTTGCAGATTCCGAAAGCTCCGCATCTGGCGGAATTCTCACAGGTGTTTCTTGTTGCTGCTGCGTTGTTGTTGGTTTGTGGTGTACAGAATCTTGGACAGAAAGAAAAGAGTGTGACGAATATGAATGCAAGCTTCGGATAATCTTCTTGGATGATCATTATATCTAACTATTTATCTGCCTATCTCTCACTTGAACACAGGAAAAAAATAAATTAATTTAAATTAAATTCATAGTGTGTCTTGAAGATAATGGTTGAATTCAATGAGAATTTGTAGGTTTGTTTATTTTTGTGACTATTCTGAGTGGATTTGATGGATGGTAAAAATGGTGGAAAGATAAAATTGAAAAAGTTGATAGGGAAATTATTTTGTGATAATTAGAGTCTGGAATTGCATGATGGGACCATCAATGGGTGTGGACATGGGTGCAAGTTGGAATGGAATTTCCAATTTCTGTCCGTTCTGATTCGAAAAGTTTTGATTTTGGAACAATTTTTTTGATTCCGACTTCCGAAACCAATTTCCGAATTTTTCCGATTTTTTTGGATTGGAATTGTAATTGTATAAAATAACTTTGGAATGTTCGATTTCCGTAAATTTCGAAATTTATTCCGAAAAATTCCAAATTTTTTCCACCTATAAATTATATTATACTTATTTTCCGAA